CAAACAAACAAACAAAAGCCAGATGTTGAAAAACACCACCTTAATTAAAGACTGACAGGGAAATGGTCAGGGATTCCAATTCGGATAGGTTTCACACATTTCAGAATGAGGTGTTATCGCCTCTTATTTCCCCAAGTGGTAGGGATAGGGGGAGCGACTGTTCCAGCAAATTGCTGACAACATTGGGAGGCAACTCAGTGTTTGCTGGGTAACTGGATTAGAGCTAGGAATTAATTGTCCATGAATGTGGAAAAACAGCCAAGTCCACACAGAGTGTTCCATGGACTCCATCTACTACCAAGAAGAAGAAAGAGAGAAAGAAAGAAAAAAGATGCTCTGATTTCAATTAAAAAAAGAAAAAAGATGAAGAAAAGACACCACCCAGCAGCTAATTACTGACAGGCCAATGCCTGTGTTAGCTCAAATGCAAGAGCTGACATGATAGAATGTTAGCATCTCGTGATCTGCTGTTAATTAAACGTAGCACAAAGGCATAGTGGGGCTGTACATCTGCTCACAGGATGCGACTTGGCTGGGGGAGCCCTCCCCAGCCTGCCGACTCACTCGCTCACTGAGGATGGCATGGAGTCCCCAGCCTGGGCTTGAGGGCAGGGGCAAAGGACTTGATGGTGTGGAGGGTGGACAGCCCAGGAGGGAGAAGTGGACCCGGGCCTGCTCACCCAGATGCCCCCTGCTGATCGGCTGTGTGTGTGTGTGCCCAGCCAAGGGTCTCTCTGAATGTGGAGGGGTCAGTTTGGCAGCCCTTCTTGAGAAGAAAATCATAGCCAGAGAAACCTTTAAACATTTAAGTTAGCATTAACAGCAAACGATTGGAAAGAACCTAAAAGTCTCATAGCAGGACAGTGGTTACATAAATTGAGGGGCATCCACGCAGTGAAGTACTACTCAGGTGCTAACAATGAGGCCAGGAGGATTTCCAAGCTCTGATTCAGAAGTTCATAACTGGGGTCCTGAAGAGCATCAAGGGCTCTGTGAACTTGGCTGGGGGAAAATTACATCTTGTTTATCACTAACCTCTAACTATAATTCCACATTTGTGTCAATTATAAGTGCAGGCCACCTATTCCAGTAGAATTGGCAGTGACTTGGTCACCAATAGAAATCACAGATTTTCTTATATCACTTTACAGTGGTTGCAAATAACTCAAAATATTAATTATATCACTACTTAGAAACTGTTAATAGTGATTAGATCCAGCAAAAGATTTTGTTTTTTAATGTGTTAGTAAAGAAGTATGTGTTTTATAATCACAAACATATTTCTCTGTTTTGACAAGTATATTAAACATAATTGATTTCCTCTGTAACCTTATGTGATTGATTTTTATCCACTTAAAGCACTGATCTGAGAAGGGATCATAGGTTTTGCCTGGCCGACAAAGGAGTCCATGGCTCAAAAAAGGCTCAGAAATCCTGATCTGGTGTTAATGAAGAGAAGCATGCAGAACAGTATGAATCACGTGCTCCCCTGTGTGTGTGTTTTTTTAAAAAACCTATCAGTGGAACAGATTTGAGAATTCAGAAATAGACCCACACAAATAGGTCTTATCTTTGACAAAGGTGCAAAAACAATTCAATGAAGGAAATATAGCCTCTATACACACAGTACTAGAACAATTGGACATCCACAGGCCCATAGTAAAGAATCTGCCTGCAATGCGGGAGACCCAGGTTCGATCCCTAGGTCGGGAAGATCCCCTGGAAAAAGGAATGGCTACCCACTCCACTATTCTTGCCTGGAGAATTCCATAGACAGAGGAGCCTGGCGGACTATTGTCCATGGGGTTGCCAAGAGTCAGACACAACTGAGCTACTAACGCACAACTTACAGGCTGAAAAATGAACCTCAACCTCACACTTCAAACAAAAATGAACTTAAATATAAAACATAACACTGAATCTGAAAAATCTGAGTGGGCTGTATCAATTTGCTGCTTATGATAGTGCCTCACTGGGGGAAACTGGGTAAACAGTACGTGAGATTTCTGTGTTATTTCTTAGAACTGCATGTGAATCTATAATTTTCTCAAAATCGAAGTTTAGTTAAACAAACAAAAAGGCATGTGCAAATCATCTCTGAAAGGAGACAGCAAATAGAGGAGACATCTCCAAGGAAAGAAATGAGAATGGGTAACAGAGGTAGGGAAAAAAAGTGTTTTTGGTTTCTACTTTTAAGTTGTTAACCATTTTCATGAATTACTTATATTCACAATTATTTTAAAACAAAAAGTCTGGAGAAAGAAATGAGTATTAAGAGAAATCATCCTGGTGAAAATCAAAACTGTTTCCTAGGTTACCTTTGAATTAAAAGCACCATTATTGATAAATTTCCCCTCTACCTTGTAGAAGGATGTATATTTAAATTTTAGTAAACTTTTATTACGCATTAAAAAAAATCAACTTCATGCTTCTTTGCTCATTTTCAAAATGAAAATGTATATTAGTTGTTCAGTCATGTTTGACTCTTTTGCGAGCCCATGGACTGTAGCCCACCAGGCTCCTCTGTCCATGAAATTCTTCAGGCAAGAATACCGAAGTGGGTAGCCATTTCCTTCTTCAAGGGATCTTCCCAACCCAGGGACCAAGCTCAGATCTGCATTGCAGGTGGATTCTTTACCATCTGAGCCACCATGGTTCATTTTCAAAATGAAAATAAAAGATTTTTATTTTAAATAATTTTAGTCCTTGTGTAAGATCTGAGCAAGGTTGTTCTTTGTGTTCAGACTGTTGACATGCCTTGAGAGCAGCTGGGCTGGGTGGGCTACAGTTGGGCAGCAAGTCTTCGGGGGACCACGACTTCCCCAAGACTCACAACTCTCCTTTGCTGAGAAGGCCAATGCGGTTAGGAACTTAGCTCTGGACTCAGGTGGAGCTCAGATTTGATCCTGGCTTGCCACTTACAGACTGTACGATGAAGAGCAAGAATCTTACCTCTGTGGATCTCAGTTTTGCCATCTGTAAGATGGGGGTATTACGGTGCCTGGCTGAAGGAGTTGCTGTGAGAATTCACAGAGAGAATTTGTGGAAAGCACTTAGACAGCGCCTAGCACATGGAGACCACAGTGGTTAGCCTGTGTGATTCTTAGCCTCCTGACACAGTCTCAAAGAGAAGGCTGCCTTCAATCATCTGACCATACAAGTACCATACACTGTGCACCAAGAGGTGGCATCGGAGGTGTATTTCTCATGAGAGCTCCCTGCATCCTCAGCACACTTGAGCCAGTGCTACAGAGGCAAAGGGAGGCCCGTAGAGGTTATGTGATGTGCACAAGTGCACACAGCCAGGAAGAGGCAAGGAGAAAGAGCAGGACCCAAAGGCTCTAGGCCATGGCCAAGGAGAAGAGGCCAGGGCTCATCCTAGGGCCTCTGAACAGCTCTCCAGTAAGAGGAGCTGAGGTCCAGGACTATCAAGGCCACAGCATCCAGGAGTGTAAGGGGCTCTGGGAATCCTCAGAATGGCAAGGAGAGGACCTGATCCCCTGTCCTAGCCCCAGAGGGGCATGTTCTGCCTGCACAGCATCCCCATCCCACCCTCCAGGAAAACTGGTATATCATGGTGGGAGAGCTTCTCTCCAGTAGGATCTGGGGGGCCAAAACCTAGAGGTGGAGCCTTAGAAGACACTCCACTCTGGCCACAAGAACAAGCATTCCGTCAGTCCCAGCTCTCACCATGGGGCTTGAGGTGAGGCCCAGGCCACAGCTGAGGCTTGGATAACAGTGAGTGTTGACAGCCTTCTGGCCCAAAGACCATGAGGGCCCTTTTCACGATGGTCACCCCAAAGCCTATTTCAGCATTCTCTCAGGAGATTTAGCTTCCTGGATGTCAGTGAATAGAGTGGGCAGTGGTTTCAGAAGGCAAACATCCTCAGGCTGCTCTCCCTGGGCTGTGCTAGAATCTGCCCAGAAACGGGGGTACATTCAGGTGGTTCGTGTTCAAAAAAAAACCTCAAGATGGTAATTGATGGCATAATGGAAATAAACAACTCTCTAACTGGTGCCCAGGGATGTATGTTGCCCTTTGCATGCCCTCAGCCTTTTATAAGCTGTGTGACTTTGGTCAAATCACTATTTGTCTCTATGCCTCATTTTCCTTTATAAAATAGGAAGTGAAACCATACCTCTTCCCTGGGTCATTGTGAGGATTAAATAAGGGGAGGGGTGCAGTGTTTGGCACACAGTAGGCTTTCAGTGAAGGCTGACTCCCTGTCGTTCTTCTGCCCACTCTGTGATGCCAAAGCAGAGCACATGTGCGAAGTTGAGTGAGTGGCCAGAGGCAGGGCAACTCAACCCTCCACATAACAATGCACAAACTGGCCCTGAAATTCTGCAACCAGCCCTGGATAACTGCAGTCCTAACCAATGCTGAGCCCATGCTGGGAGTGGGGACAGACAGACAAAGGAAACCTCGTCACTGTCCCCCAGGAAGCTCAGGGCTTGAGGGAGGGACACCTACTCAGTGGGATTAGTGTGACAGCGGGCAGCCGAGGGCCTGGGCAGGTCCCACAGGCTGAGACCCTGGCGGAAGGGTCGCTTGGACTAAGTCTGAAAGGAATAAGTAAAAGATGAGTGGGTGAAACTGGAAAGAGTCTAGGAAGAAGGCTCAGCATGAGCCAAGGCGCAGAAAGGAGAGAAAGGGTGGGAGGATACGGAACATGGTGCTTGGAGCTACTGTATGAAGACAAAGATAGTAGAGCATCTATCTGACCAGCAGGGTAGTGCAGAGGTATAGCGAGAGGTTGATGAGCACAGCCCAGAGACTCATCGTTTTGATTTCCCAGAGAGATCCCAGGTCTCTGGGGAGCGCTTTAAGCCTATTTCTCCAGCCGCGCTTGCAGACGCGCAGCAATGGACGCTCCAGCTCTTGCGGCGGTTGGTCGCTAAGCAACAGGCCCCTCCTCCGCGGTGGTCTGGCCTCCACGCGCCCTCTACTGGCGGCTCCCTGCCGGTGCACCGGCTTCATGGAATGCTGCCAGCTGCCTTCCACCCTGTTCTCCCAACTCATAACCAAGTCTTGGTCACTGAGATTGGGCAATGCTGTCCCTGGCTGACGGTCTCCCTGCTTCCAATCTTTTTCTGCATGGGCCTGGCTGACTCCACCCCTACAGGAACTAGCTAGGCTGGGCCAGCCAGTGGAGGAGAAGCTGGAGAGGTGGGCAGACAGGCTGTGCTGAGAATGTTGATCTTCAGAGCAGTAGGGAGCCATGTAAGATATGTGAGCAGGGCAGCAACATAAGCAGATCTGGTGTCTAAGTGCTCATGTTGAAGCTGCTGGAGGACTGCCTGAAGAAGCAGGGCACTCAGGGAGCATGGATTAAATTGACTGGAAAGGCTACAGGGAACCGGGTTCCACGGAGCCCACCAGGGTAAGTAACTATGGTGAGAGTATATAGGGAAGGACAGACAGGCTCTCAGCACTTGGGGTTCACTTGGTGGGAAGGGAGTTTGGCAGGGTCCCACCCTGCCCTATGGTTGGCCTTTTCACCCCAATTGGCACCCTCAAAGCTGCAGCAAAGATGCTGACTGGTCTCTGAGATTCATCAGTACACAGGCCTACAGAAGGACTGAGCAACCCTCCCCTTCCAGGGGTCCTGTGGACGTGGATCCCTACAGGACAAGGGGACACTGCTGTTCTCCGCAGAACGGAGCTTCCCACCTCAAACCACTCCCCCACAAACACACACTCCAGGCTCATTAAACGTGGTCTGGAATACTGCCAAGTCCATGTGGTCACAGACTGGCCTCATGCTTACGTGTGCTGACCAAAAATGGGAAAACAGCTTTACAGATGAATGAAGTTTGGGTGAAAAATCTTTCAAAGCATGGGCTCTAAAATAAAGGAGAATGATGAAAAATTAGGGTCACTGATCCAGCCCCATCTGGCCATACCCTCAGAAGGTCAGGGTCCAGTATGGCAGGGTGAACGAGGCCAAGTGGAATCAGAAGCTGTGTCTTCTCCCATGCTCCTGGGCTTCCTGCGGCCCTGTGGACCCAGGGGCAGGACCAGCAGTGGGATGGCTGATAACCAGCCTCAAAGCCAGGCTAGTCCAAAACCACTGCATCCTCGGATCCAGACTAAGACCAGTGCTGACACCTGCAGGCCTCAGTAGGCCAGGTTCTGCTCTGCTGAAACACTGTGTGTAAAGCAGAAACTGATCAATTCCTGACTGTATCTGCTCCAATACCTTCCAACAGAGCAGGCCTAGGCCCTCAAACCTCCCAGTCACCACACCGATGTTGAGAGAATAGTTAGACTATCACTTCTCAGTGTTCTTCCTGCCATCTGTCCTAAGACGCTGGGCTCGCAGGCAACGCAGGAAGCAGCTCAGCCTCTTCTCCTGGGTGCTAGTCCCTTCCAGACAGAAGAGAACGCTGTCCCTCATCCTTGAATCCTTCACTCCTGGTCTCTTACCCTTTCTCACCCTGCTGCTGGGGGTGCCTACCTTCATCTAACTCATTCTTCCCTTGAAGACGCAGTCAAAACCCGAACTTCTCCAGAAGGCTTTCTCTGACCCTTTCCCCCACCCACAGCCCCTCTACCTCTCTCTGTCCCATCGCAATCCCACTGGACGATTTGTCACACCAGTTTCCATGCTTCTCATGGGCAGAGCTGAGTGCCAGGCCCTAAGTCCAGCAGAGATGCAGGGTGTGTTTTAAATGACAGAGAAAGTGAAAACAAGGGAAGAGAACCAGGACTCTAAAACAACAAAATGGGATCAAGTTCTGGTTTTTTAAAACCATGTCACTCTGCAGGGACCATGCAAAGAGCTGGGGAAGAGAAACTACAGAAAATCTTTACATTTCATGTGTCTGCATCAGATTCCCTTAAAGGGTCTCTACTGCTTAAAATAATAACAGCGAGGTGGGAGGGAGGCTCACGAGGGAGGGGACATGTGTATACCTATGGCTGATCCACGTTGACGTATGGCAGAAACAACACAATATTGTAATTATCCTTCAATTAAAAATAAATTAAAAAAAATTTTAAATTTCATAGAAAAAAAATAACAACAACAAAACTGATAGTAAAAAACCTGCCAGCCTTGCCCAAGCCTCTCCCTTGATAACTGAGATAAAGGGAAAGTCTTGCCTAAGTGCATAGAAAGAGCAGGCTCTCAGGCCATGAATCCCAGCCACCGCCTCCCCTTCCCAAGGCTGTATTCCACAGAAAGTTAGAGAGAGCGTACACCTTCCACAGGGATTTCCACTGTTCATTTTATTTCAAATGGCAGCTGTCCCCAGAGAAGAAACTGATGCCACAGGTAATCTGGAAGCACCATCCTATTCTCTGAGAACTGCATGAGAACTTACAAAAAGCTTAATTTTTAAAGCTAGCAATCACTATAAAAACATGAAATAGTCAAACTTTAACGTTTTTTTTTTAACCATAAATGATGTCATAATGGCTTAAACTTCATGGGGGAAAAGTGAAGCAACCTCAGAGCCTACAATGCTTATATTTGATAGTAAAGCCCCTAGAGAAGGGGCGAGGGGCGGTAGCCAGGCTGACCCTGGGGGACAGAGGAGTAAGAAAGGATGGAGCAGAATCTGTTCAGCCCCCTGGTCCTGGCTGCTCCCGCTATCCACTTGGATGTGCCAGAAGCCTGATGTCTGTGCTGCCTCCTGCTGGGGACCAGACAGAGGCAGCAGAAGCAGAGGCTAAGGTAGACGGTGCCTCCTGTCCTGGAGCAGGACTTGAGGAAATCAAAGGCCGTCTCTAGGGGTGAATCTGATTTAACAGCAGCCAACATAGAGCTGGTTAAATTCATTCCTAAACGTGAGCTCCCCCCAACCCCCCACATCTCAGAGCTCTGGCCGCGCCCTCGTGACTTCATCCTCTGAGTTCCTTTTCAACCCCCCATGTCTCAGGCTTGAGAGAACCTTAGCAACCACACTCCTTCCTCCTATCTTGAAATGGGAATTAACTGCCACCTTACTCTTATCACTACCCTTCCTCCCTACATATCACTGAATAGAGACAAGAAAATCATTGCTGCAAGCGTCCCCCACCCCGCCCTCTGCACCAAGGCCCCACGCTGCCGGCCTGAGGGCCTGGGCCTAGTCGGACTCCTCCTGGGACGATGGCTGGCTGGGCTCGATCGGCCCCTCCATATCCTGGTCATCTGTGAAGGACAGAGAAGAGGGGCTGGATTGAGAAAGAGGAAAAATCACCTGTTTTCACACACAAGTTTTCTACAAGGCATCCTCATCATTGCCAGTCCCTATGGAGAATTAGTTATTCCCATTCCTACTTTTAATTTGCTAGGGGTCAGGAGACTAGAATTCTAGCCCTGGCCAGATGATACAGACTCAAGTTCAGACTCCAGCTCTGCCTGTCACAAGCTGGGTGGCAGGAAGCGAGCTACTCCCAGCTCTGAACCTCAGCGTCTCCTTCTGTCCGTTAGATGATGCCTACCATGCAGCATCATGGTTGGCTTGGGGATTAGGGGCAACAGTGAGAACAATCTTTTACCAATGCCTTCATCATTTTAGGTTTTGTTTAATCCTCAGGATGACCTCATGAGGGAAGGGACCCTTAATTAGTTTGCTCTTGCAGATACTGAAACTGAAGCACCACGGAGTGAATGAACTTGCCCAAGGTCACACCATGGGTAAGTGCTGGAGCCAGGACTTATTATACCCAGGCTGTGTGGCACCAGGGCCATCGTACTGCAAGTCACACTGTACCGTATCCCCAGCTAATAGATCTAGGCATCGGCTCCTTTTCTTAAGGAGCCTCAGGGGAGGACTGGAAGGGGGAAAAGAATCCTAGAACCTTTAAAGCTTTAAGGGCCCTCAAAAGAAAACCCTCACAGTAACCCTGTGACAGGGCCCACTTTACTGGTGAGAAGACTGAGGTCCAGATGAGGGTCTGAGTGCCCAAGATCACCTGGTGCACCAGTGACCGAGCTGTGAAGGCCAGAGTGGCCTGAGCCAGAGGAATCATTCCCACCAGCCCCAGGCAGGCTCAGCACACGCTTTTTCCCCAGCCAGAGAGGCCTGGCACTTCTGGTCTTTCAGGACCACATGCATGCTATCCTCCACATCTTTACCCACAGGAACTGTTAACGTGAGGAAATTGGCATTGAAGCTGGAGCTAGACAGAGAATTCTGTTGAAATCCGAGCTGCACCATGTACATATGTGAGACCCTCTCAGGGTTCTATCACAGTTTGCTCACCTGAGAATGGGGACTCACCTCCCCTAGATACTCCTGTATGGAATTTAGAGAGGGGTTCCAGGAAAGAGTTTCCCCAGGGCCCAGCACATTGAAAATCCTATTCTCCATTTCCCTTCCCTCCACGTCCACTTCGTAGTAGGACCCCCTTCCCCTAGAGCCCTCCTGAGTCCCTCGGCAGCTGGAAGAGGGGGGCTCACTCACCGGTGTTCTCCCTGTCCATGTCAGACAGGATGGTCAGCGAGAAGCTTGCTGGAGACGGCGGCGGCGGCGGCGGCGGCGGCCCGAAGAAGTGGAGCGCAGAGAGCAAGCCCGGCGGGAGGAAGTGGGGCTGCTGCGATGGTGCCAGCGGCGGGTAGTAGCTCGGCTGGAAGTCTCCCATGGGATCCGCCACCTGCAGGGCACACACAGCAGACAGTCAGAGGGCAGAGGGTGAGCCAGGGGGCTGATCCCACATTCATGGCCCTGAATGGGGGCTCCCTGTAGAGGTCATTCATCTCTGCAGCCCAGACAGAGGAGTCCAGCAAACACCTGCCAGATGACTGGGGGCAAGGAGGAACACAGGCGCGACGCAGAGAAGCCTGGGGAGCAACTGCATCTGAGTATGTCCACAGCCTCATTCTATCCTGATGACCCTAGGAGGGAGGGTCTATTAACCATCCTCACTGTAGTGACAAAAACCAGCATCAGTGAGATGAAGGTACAGGCCCAGGCCAGAGCTGGGGAGCGGCAGAGGCAGAACAGAATCCCAAGTCAGCCTGACCCCACTGCTCTGCACTGGAGAAGGGTCTGAACTCATCCACCTACTTGAGGTCCCACCTATGGGACATGTGATGACTTAAGACTCCAGCGTCGCTGGGCCTGTGGGCTCCTCATTTTAACCAGCCAGTACAGTGCAGCTGTTACCAAGGCAAGGAAAGCTAGCTGGCCTCAGGAAAAGTGGCTTCAGCCCTTCTGTGTTTATGCTTCTTCTTCAATAGGTGAAAGCTAACCCCATACCACAGGACCCAAGGCTGGAATAATAGGATGTGGAGGGGTGATGACCACACAGCTCAGAGCTTAACTGAGAAAGACATGAATGTAACAGAAAATCATAAAATTCAGGTACAAGTCTTATTATTTACTCCTCCATCCAGGTACTCCAGAGCAGCACTTCACAGGCTGTGTGCCAGAGAAATCCAGTGTCCCACAAGATATTTTTAAGTGCTCTTAGAAGTGTTCTTTGTCCAGGGAGTTTGAGAAGCCCTGAAAACTGCCCCCACATCGGTAACTTACACATGAGTCTATTAAATCTGCTTACATTAACCCAGCACTTCCTAACTTAATTTGACCACAAGGAAGGGAAGAAAGCCCACTTCTGAGTACTCACCATGTCACAGACCAGACACTTTATATGCATCCACACGTTATGGCTAGAATCTGTCAACAGTCTGATGCTATAAAACTCTTACCCCCATGCCAGAGACTAAGAACCTGAGCAAGGTCCTCAGAGGTTGGGTGACATGCCCAGACCATGTGGAAAGGAAGCAGCGAAGCTAGGCTTGGTCTCCAAGTCTGTCTGATTCCAGGTCTGTGCTCTTTGTGGGAAGAGAAAAGAGGAAGCAGAGAAGCAGCAGGTGGGACAGGACAGGAAGAGAAGGCGGCTCAGGGAGTATTTGGGAGGCTGGGCAGGGGCAGCAGGACAAGGATGAAAGCAATTCATAGGCTCTTGGGTTTGAAACAGCTTCACAAATGAATGGGTGATCCCCTATCCAGACGTGAAGGGGGTAGGAAGGGGGATTATTAGTCTTTAATTCCAAGCTGCTCAGCCAAGTCTCTCCCTGGATCACAGCTCCTGCCTGGGGCTGGTGGTGGCAGCTCAGGCCCAGATAAACCAACTGAGATCACACTCCTAACAAAGGCCGTCTGGCAGGCCTGTCAATCAGAGCCCTGCCCTGGACGCCAGGCCCCGGGCTTCTGTGTGAGCAGACGGTGGGTGTGTGCTCCATTTGGCCAAGACCCCTCTCTTTGTGTGGAGGCTAGAGATGCTGTATTCTCCCTGGGCTGTAATGGGGTGGCCAGCATCCCACCCCCAATTTCAGGCAGGGCAGGGGGATGGTGAGAGTCAGGGTCATGTTTGCTCTATACCTCTGTCCTGCCTCTGTCACTGACCAGTTGTGTAATCTGAATCCCAGTCCCTTGTTCCCCACTTCAGTGACCCTGGACAAATCCATAATTCCTCTGAGCCTTCTTCCTCTGCTCTACAATGAGGAAATAACATGTACCTCGAGGGCTTACATAAGGGCCAGTAGGCACCCTGGAAATTATCAAGAGCAGTGGTATTCAAACTTTTCCCCCTTGAATGAATGGAAAATGATTTCTGAATAAAACTTTAGAATATCTGGATCAGAGGAGATGCTGCTGCTGGTGCACAACTTCATTATGTTAATGTCAAGCTTTGGTCCCTTCTCTTACTTTCTACATTAGACCAAAGAAGCCTGCTCTCTACTCACTCTTCTCTACCCTCCACCCAAGGCAGCATCTCTGTAACACACAGGGTTGGGCTTGTAGCTAAGGAAGAAAGTAAAGGTAACAGTGGTCCACACTTCCCTGAATGTGAGCTGCATCTCTGTCAACTCCTTCACAGGTCCAGCCTTATGGGCCAAAGTCAGGACTGGTCACCCAGGCCACTCGCTATTCTGCAGTTCTGATGGCTCTCTGGGGTTGCCAAAAGGGAGAAGGATGGAAGGAGCTGGCAACCAATGCTGCAAAAGCTGGTCACCTGACCCACATCTCACACAACTCTTATATATCCAGAACTTCCAGAACTCAAAACTCTAGGCTCAAAGAGCATACCAGTTAGCAACTGATCACCGATCTTATAAAATGATTAAATTTCACCCATTTTTTTTTCAACAAATATCTCCTAAGGTGACCAGTGCTTGGGGGAAGTCTCCATATTTTTCAAGCTTAAGTGCCCTATCCTCTTGAAAGCCCTCAGCCGTCTCAAGTGGGCCATACCTTTGCAGCAGGATACCTATGTCTGCTCCTGACTCTGCCCTCAAATGTGTGGCTCCAGGAAAGTGCTGTTTCCTATCTGGTACCTAGTATTGACTGGCATTCCATGGATCAAGGCTGGTGGTCACTCAAGGTTCCCGTGTGGCTGTTCCCCAGGTTTATCTGAGATGTGTCTGTATTTCTTTTTGCCTGAGCTCCCAGAGTCTCTCAGCCCACACCACAGCCCAGGACAACTTGTTCACACGGGCAGAGGTGCACAGCATACAAGGTCAACACCGTATCCTTCCACCCACTGCCCATGTCCTGGTGCAGAGTGAGCACAATGGCTGGCTGCCCCGGAGAAGGTCTGTTAAAGCAGCCAGGGCAGTTTAGATAGGGAAGAACCTCGAAAATATCAGGGATGTGACTCACCAAGCCTCCTCCATTGTAGTGGCTATAGGACACATGCCCGAAACCCTGCTGCAGAGGGGGCCCCGAGGCTGGGGACGCACCCTGGTAGCCCAGCGGAAAAGGGCCGTAGGGATGCATGCTGGAGCAGCTGGGGTACAGCTTGGGAGGTTCTCTCTCCAGGTACTCAGACCCCACCACAGAATCTGAATTGATGCTCAGAGGGAGCCCTGAAAAGACACGCAATTAGTGAAGTGTTAAAAACACATGGAGCTAGGAAAAAGGGCACCATATTATTGTCTGAAGGTAGCAGTATAAATAAACACTCATATCCATTATGCTTTTGATCCTTCCTGCTTTTTAAACCCTTCAACCATGTTCTATTGCCCTTAGCAAAAGTCCTCGGCCCAGCCATGAAGCCCATGCAGGCTAGGTTCCTGCCTTCACTCCAGCCTCACTGTCTGATAACTAGTAGCTCCTTCTTTCTCCTCCACCTCAGGGCCTCTGCAGATGCTGTCCCCTCCGCTTGGAAGGCTTTTTCTCCTAACCCCACTTTGCCTTCTTGAATCCTCAGTACTCAGCTCCTAATCTTCCTTCAGACCACAGCTAAACCACTGGTTATTAGAGTTCTCGATACACCAATCTGTGATGTCCTTTTCTTTCACAAGGACAACATCCTTGAAGGCAAGGAGCTGACTCACCCCTCTTCACCTTTTCATCACTAGCGTCTGGCACACAGTGCTCAGTCAATGGAACAAAGAAAGGCTCCATATCCGTAGAAAAGTATCCTTCTCCTAGAACTGCTTTTCATATCTGTCTTCCTCATCTAGTTCTCTAGGGACCTATATTTTCCTAGAACATCCAAGAAGGCAGAATTGGCCTTCAGAGCATCAGGCCAATCCCCTTAGCCTACAGAGGGGAGAAGCTGTCACAGAGGGGAGAGGTTGTCGCAGAAAGAAGGAGCTTGCCTAAGATTACCAAGTGAGCAACCCCTCAGCGTCCTGACTCAGACTTGTGCTCTTTCTACACTGCCATAGAGAAAACCAAGAAAACACGTGTCTGCACCCAAAATGAGCCCCTTTTAAAAAGTCTCAAATCTACAAGTGACTTGAAATTATAATAGTGAAAGTTACAATACCTAGGGAACAATGTAATTTATGCATGTGGAGGGAGGAGAGAAAAAACAGCAACAATGTCTCAATAGACTGTTCTCTTGCAGGGAGAAGAGAAGAGGTCTCACTTCCACCATGCCTGGGAAACAGGTGGGAAGAACGCACATACACACCATCAAGCCAGAGCATGGCTGAGCAGCAAGCTGTTTAGAGCACAGAAGGTGGGGGAGGGGTGGGCAGAGGGACGCAAGCGCAATCATAATGCGCTGCCCCATCCACGGATGTTCTGGGGGAGGAGCTTCCAGTCCCAGAAATGGGTGGGAAGAGGTGCGCAAGCGCAATATGGCCACTCTCCCGAGATCCTCTCTGTTGGGAGGAGGAGCCTCAGCTAAGCGGACTGGGGGCCATTTTTTTTTTCCTGCGGCCATTTTTTTTTCCCCTGCGGCCATTTTTTTTTTTTTTGCGGCCATTTCCCCGCCCCCCCCCCCAGAATGGAAAAGCAGAAACTATAGCTAAATGTTTTTAAAAATTACCCCCCAGAACCACCCATTCTTTTCTCTCTTTTTACCTTCTTGCAAAAAGGCACCAAACCCAAATGCCTACTCAAGAAAAAGGTACCCCAAAGCAAGATTCCCTCTAGAAAGCATCTTCCCACCCCCACCCCAAGGGCCCATACCCGCGGCTGGCCTGGGACACCAGAGTCGGGGGAGCGGGGAGGCAGCAGCCCAGAGAGGAACCAGTAGCGGGACAAAAGCTCGGGGCCCCGGGAATCTTACCGAAGTTGGTGAACAGCGGGCTGGGCACAGGCTGCGGCGGTCTGCGCAGCTCCAGGCAGCCGGGGTAGCCCCGGCCGGTGGCCTCCGCCGCCAGCTGGGGCTCCAGAGAACTGGGCCTGGCCCTGGCGGCTTGTTCGCTCAGGCCCATGTGGCCGCAATTGCGGCCGCCCAGAATGGGCTGGAAGGCACTCATGCCGGGGCTCCAGCCCCGCGGGGGCCTCTCCGGGAAGCAGGCGGCCGCTTGGCCCGAAGGGCCCGGCTGCGCGTCTCCCAAAACGGCAAGCGGAGGCAGCGGGTAGAAGCTTGGGCCCGGGTTGGCGGCTGCGCTCCCGGAGGCCAGCTGGGGTTCCTGTGCACACAGGGCCACCTCCTGCTCCTCTTCAGGGGCCTGCTTCTTGAGCAACTTTTGTGCAGCCATGATCTTCTGGCGCTCGCTGATCAAGAAGCACTTCTTGCAGGTGCACTGCTTCCAGCGGCACTTGCCCGCGTGGCCCTTGACTGGTACCAGGAAGCCGTGGTTCCGGCACCGCGAGCACTTGGGGGTACGAAGCATCTTGTCGGCCTGCTTGGTACGGTCTGCCTTCATAGCGCAACCACCTCCTCTGAAAGCTTCAGGGACAGTGAAGCAGAGAGAAGTAGTTCCCCCCAAGTCCCTGGTGCTGGGGACTTTGGATACACTTGTAACAAGGCAGCGTTCAGTGCGTCCCAGGAGCTGCAGCACGACCCTTGCATTCTCTTTTTTTGGTGCAAAATTTGGAGAGGTTTTGTGCCTTGGTTACAAAGATGCAAAGGATTGGGTTGAATAAGTTCTTCAAGTAATGCTATTGCATGTATGTCATCTGGGTTAGCTGCAGTCTTAGGCATTTAATTTCCAAACTTTCTCTTCCCGCCATATCGTATACAGAAGGTATTTCGTAATTTCAAAAAAAAAAAAAAAAAAAGCGGAGTGATACTCAAGGATCCACAGAGTCTAAACTCCAGAGGAATGTAGTGGTTGGTAAACCTGTTGCAGTAGAAAAGGATACTAAGTCTCAAACCGTGTTTCTCCATACAGAAGCTACTGCTTCTGCTTAATTTCACTTTTCTCTTATAGAGAAGCAACTGTTCACAGTGATGCTTCCAGAATATTCTCAGGAGCTCAGTACAGTGTGATGGTTGCTCAAGGGTGTGCCTTTAGAGTAATTTCCATTTTTTGAGTCTTGTTGGTATAGGGATGCATCTCTGGAAGTGGCATATTGCTGTTGATGTCTTCCAAAGAAAAGCATACTTGCAGTGATTAAAAGGGACTTAGGATACTTTAGCATGAGCTTGAACCAGTGCTTAATTGTGCCATGAATCTAATTATTCCTGTAAAGCAACCCAAATCTTGGGACACCTGCAAAGCTGCCACAAGTTCATAGTTTTCCCAAGACTGCTAGGCCAATTCATTTTCTTGTTTGATAGAAATTTGTGACACCCTGAGATCTCCGCGCCCCACCCCCCCCGCCGCCCCCTCACTTAGGTCCCAAAAAGAAAGAAAGAAAGGAGAAAAAAAAATTACCATTTTAGAATTAATCATTATCTTTAAGGGGGTAATTATGGTTAATACCTGGCAAAAATGTGTGTTTTTAATTGTCCTTTCTTTGACGTTTTCTGTTTCTGGTAACAGAATGGTAGAAGTGAGAGCCAAGGCCTGGTGTCCACCTTGATCTTCCTGAGCCGCTGGTTGCAGGTGTACTTTGCATTTCTCACCATCTACCTGACAATAGGAAATGGTTGCAATTCTGAGACTGATTATATACTGGAAAGCTGAAAAGGTGCTTGTAAAGTTTTTTCCTGCTTTGAAGAAATATACTACTCATCTTAAGAGGGCATAAGTATATGTTTCCTGTATTATTTGACCCTTTAAGAATGTCACTGGTTATTTCAATCCATTTAAAGAGATCTAGGTTTGTCTCTGTTTTGCTCTAACAGCCTGTATCTTAATTTTTGATTAAAAAAAAAATATGGTCCCATAAATGAAAGCACAGACAAGTTCTTTTTCTGACTTCACTTAATTCAGAATATCTAATTTTTTCACTGACTTTGTCATTTGAATATGTTACTTAAAAATCATAGTTTCAATACTACTGTCAAAAAACCTGGGCACAAACTGTATTCTTTCATGATACTGCAAATTATAAGATCATTTTCTGCATTATCAAATTTAAATTTTAACATCAGGTGATATCAGCTTATTAAGGCCTAAACATGAAAACTACTCTCATTTACATTTCATGCTTGACCTCAAGATCTCTTCATTTTCCTATTAATGATTTAAAGGAAAATCCTATTCAAGGACAACCATTTGAATTCATTTATTTTAGCCTCTTTAATGGCAAAATGCTTCCATTTTTACTTATAACTTTGGGGCAAAATATACCCAAGGTGATGTGAATTTGCATACTACTTTGAGAATGTTAATAAACAACCATAAATCTTTTAAATCTATAGTCATAAATGCAGAAACCCTAGGGTTTATATAGTAAACAAATAAGAAAGAAAGACTATTTATCTCTTCCCCTCAAAGTCTCAATTTGTGTAGGTAAATTCCAACAGAGCTTTATTTATTTCATTCTTGGAAATTCAGGCAAATTGATAGTTTTGTTTTATTTGGGTTGATGGCTGGTTACTTCTTAGGCTGATGAATATATACATATATATGTGTAAATTTTATTTAAATTGTTATTTAAAAAGATAGTAATATGTAAAATTGAAAAGCTGGAAGTTGAAGATGGATGAGAGCAGTAAATACATAGTAGACCCCTTCCTTCCCTACACTGAAACATTTGGATGTTTATGTTTAAGAAAGTCTACATCATCATAAGCAGAAGTTTATAAAATGACAAATTACAGTGCTGAGGAATCACCAGCTTGACTAACCACAAAGGAGCTGGTTGATAGTCATATCTGAGTCCCAGCTTTAGATACAGCTGCTTCTTCCACAGAGTCCCAAATTTCCTACCTTCAGTAATGGCTCTTCTCTTCAGTTAACATGATTGTAATTGATACTGTTTAATTTTAAAGAGTCTTGTATTATGCTGTGCATGGGGGTATCACTTGTAATCATTAAATATTGTGTGCACTGTATTGTTTCCTCACTGGTAGCATTCAAGAGTAAGGAAGGGCTTTTTTGCCTATAGCATCTTCCCCCCAGTAGCTGTAACCCAGATATCTGCTGTCTTCTTCTTCAGGCTCTCTCATGAGCAATTAAAATGTGACTGAAGATTTTGTAGGGGGTAGAGGGGAGGATTTACATGACATGTCCTATAGCAGATGCTTTAAAATCCTGTGTTAGTGTTTCTGTTCTCTCAAGATCCTCCTCTGCTGTGCCACACACACTGGAGAGGAACTGATCTGGTCCCTCTCCACCTTGCCCAACCTCCCCATCCCCGTCTCACTACCCAGGCTCTCTAGCTTTTCTCTTCTTGATTTTTGAGAGTTCTGTAATGGCTGTGACTATCTTACTTCCCTTTATATATAGCACAATATAGACATTTAGTAAATATTTGTTGAATGTACAAATGAATCTTGCCTCCCTCTCCTGCCAATATCAAAAGCATCTCATTTCTCACTGACACAGTAAATTAACTTGGATCCAGCAACTTTCTCCAATATCATACAAAACAGAAAGCCCAGAGTGAATAAGATCCAACAGAGATGGTTGGATGGCATCATCAACTCAATGGACATGAGTTTGAGCAAACTCTGGGAGATAGTGAAGGACAGGGAAGTCTGGCATGCTACAGTCCATGGGGTCGCAAAGAGTCAGGGCTGAGCGATTGAACAAGAAGAAGAAGAATAAATAGGACCACTCTCCCAACAAGCAGAATTTGAGAATCAACTTTGCTTCCTTGAGATTACCTCTTATCCCTGATGGTATAATAACAGTAGTAATGCCAGCTAGCACTTACTAAGCGTTTGTATGTGCCAGTAATTACAAACTCCTCTGCTGCTGCTGCTCAGTTGCTTCAGTCGAGTCTGACTCTGTGAGACCCCACAGATGGCAGCCCACCAGGCCTCTGTCCCTGAGATTCTCCAAGCAAGAATACTGGAGTGGGTTGCCATTTCCTTCTCCAATGCATGAAAGTGAAAAATGAAAGTGAAGTTGCTCAGTCATGTCCGACTCTTCGAGACCCCATGGACTGCAGCATACCAGGCTCCTCCATCCATGGGTATTTCCAGGCAAGAGTGCTGGAGTGGGTTGCCATTGCCTTCTCTGATAAACTCCTCTGTGTGTGTTAATTCATATAATCCTCAAATCAACCCTCTAAGGTAGGTACTATTATTCCCCGCCCTCTCCACCCCACATTTTACACATGATGAAACCAGTACCTAGAGAAGTTAGGTAACTTGCCCAAAGTTTTCTGCCATCAAGTGGAAGAGCCATGATTCAGAACCAGGAAATACATCCTCAGAGTCTTTGTTCTTAACCATATATCTACTAACTCAGTATTTCTTCTAAGCAAATGCAGTGCCATCCCCAAGAAAGCATTGGTGATTAATAGAAATGTTTGTCTTGTTACATATCCTATTACAGTTGGGGCAAAGGAGGGTAAATAAAGGTGGTGGTAACCTGGGGAAATTTCCTAGGATGCCCTGCTAATTTGCTTTTCTCTGTCCATAGCCAGTATTCATTCAGTGTCAACTATGTCCTAAGCATAAGGGACACAGAAGTAAATAAAAACACAGGATCCTTACTTTTAGGCATACATTCTAGCTGGCAAATAGACAGTAAACAATTCCAGATGAAAGCTGAGTGGTGGGGAAGATGCTATGGGTCCTAATGTGGATCAATAAATCAAGGGAGACTTCCTTGAGGGACTGATTCCTGAGGTAGGCCTAAAGGATACGTGGGAATTAGCCAGGTGCAGGGGAGGTGTATCCCAAATAGAGAGAATATCATGTTTAAGGCTGCAGCATGGCTGTAGTACAGTGAGGCCAGGAGAGTGGAAAGAGGGGAGATGGAGAGGTTACGCAGTAGCCATGTGAAGGGGGTCCTTTAAAGGAAACTAGTAGTCACTATTGAAATGGAGCATGACTCTGCAGGGCCCTCCTGGGTACAGAAGCCCTCTGTGTCTCCCTTTTCTTTTAAAGAAAAAAATAATTAGCCTCCTAGGCCTTCACTGTATTCCAAAGAACAGATTCAATCAGTTACTAATTAGGAAAGGGAGGGAATGCAGAAACAAAGGAAAAGCAAGCAGTCAAGAAGTGATAGTTCAGCCATAAAACAGTTCCTCCTCAAGGGATATATATATATATATATATATATATATATATATATATATATATATATATAAAACAATCTGATGTGTATCTTTGAGTTGTTCTGTAGGAACTGAAACAGACCCTCACCCGAGTAGAAGATGGCAACCGCATGCTGAGCAGGAGCACTAGATCCACACTGGGTGGAACCAGAAAGTTAATAAATAAGATTCTGAAACACCATCCTGTCACCTTACCACCAACCAATGAGAGGAAAGCCATCCCCCTGCAACCATCACTTCAAATGTTGCCTTCAAAAGCCCTTCCCTGAAAGCTATTGGGGAGTTCAGGTATTTTGACCATGAACTGCCTGTACTCCTTGCTTGGGGCCCTACAAATAAACACTGCATTTTCCTACCAGTAAACTGGCTTTGCTGCACAGCAGGTAAGCAGACCAAGGTCAGTTATTTGTGCAAAGCAACGTTAGTGCTCCTAGTAGTAATAATTCTTCACCTGTGGTGGGTTCTGGGGAGGAGAAATACATACATCATATGCTTTTTAACTAAGTTTCCAGAGTTCTTAGCAATATTAAATGTCGAAAGGACTCAACTGATCAGGTAGCATGTAAATAATCCACTGTAAGCCCTATGATTGGAATCTTATGAGAATCTGACGGACTATGTATCACAGTAATGGTGTAACCTTAGTATATAAAAACACCCTTCTTTCTTTCCTAGCTTACACAGCAGTTTGCTGGTAATTTATACCTAACAAGCTAATATGAAAATATTCCTTTGAGAATAACATCAATGCATTTGAAGATTCAAAATGCAAGCTAGAATTTTATTAAACTCTTCCAGCTAACATATCCCCTTCATGGATCCAACCTTGTCATGGCAAAGGGGCTTGCGTAAGTCAGTGAAGCTATGAGCCACATCATGCAGGATCACCAAGACAGGTGGGTCGTAATGAAGTGTTCCAACAAAACGTGGTCCACCAGAAGAGGAAATGGCAACCCATGCTAGTAGTCTTGCCTGGAGAACACCATAAGTGGTATATTGTGTGAAATGCCAGGCTGGATGAATCACAAGCTGGAATCAAGAGTGCCAGGATAAATGCAGATATGCAGATGATACCACTCTAATGGCAGAAAGCAAAAGAGGAACTAAAAAGCCTCTTGATGAGGGTGAGAGAGGAGAGTGAAAGAGTTGGCTTGAAACTCAGCATTTAAAAAGCTAAGATCATGGCATCTGGCCCTATCACTTCATGGCAAATTGAAGGGGAAAAAAGTGGAAGCAGTGGCAGATTTTATTTTCTTGGGCTCCAAAGCCACTGTGGATGGTGACTTCAGCCATGAAATTAAAAGATGCTTGTTCCTTGGGAAGAAAGCTATGACAAACCTAGAGAGCGTATTAAGCAGAGACACTGCTTTGCTGACAAAGGTCCATATAGTCAAAGCTCTGGTTTTTCCAGTAAGTCATGTCCTGATATGAGAGTTGGACCATAAAGAAGACTGAGCATCAAAGAATTGACGCTTTCGAACTGTGGTACCGGAGAAGACTCTTTGGAGTCCCTTGGACTGCAAGGAGCAAACTATTCAATCCTAAAGGAAATTGGAAGAGTCATTTCCTTGGCAGGTTGACAAGAAGTCCAGGGGTCCCCAAGGAGAGAGGGGTCTGGAATTCTCAAGGAGAAAGAAAGGACAAACCTTTTTTCCCTCTACATTCCTTCAGTTCAGTTCAGTCACTCAGTCGTGTCGGACTCTCTGTGACCCCATGAACGCAGGATGCCAGGCCTCCCTGTCCATCATCAACTCCCAGAGTTTACTCAAACCCATGTCCATCGAGTCGGTGTTGCCACCCAGCTGTCTCATCCCCTGTCGTCCCCTTCTCCTCCTGCCCCAATCCCTCCCAGCATCAGGGTCTTTTCCAATGAGTCAACTCTTCGCATAAGGTGGCCAAAGTACTGGAGTTTCAGCATCAGTCCTTCCAAGGTGTTGTCCTTCAACACCCGGGACTGATCTCCTTTAGGATGGACTGGTTGGATCTCCTTGCAGTCCAAGGGACTCTCAAGAGTCTTCTCCAACACCACAGTTCAAAAGCATCAATTCTTCGGCGCTCAGCCTTCTTTATGATCCAATTCTCACATCCATACAAGACTACTGGAAAAACCAGAGCTTTGACTATATGGACCTTTGTTGGCAAAGTAATGCCTCTGCTTTTTAATATGATGTCTAGGTTTGTCATTGCTTTTCTTCCAAAGAGCAAGTGTCTTTTAATTTCATGGCTACAGTCACCATCTGCAGTGATTTTGGAGCCTCCCATCTGACACTGTTTCCACTGTCCCCCCATCTATCCCCATGAAGTGATGGGACCAGATGCCATGATCTTAGTTTTCTGAATGTTGAGCTTTAAACCAACTTTTTAACTCTCCTCTTTCAGTTTCATCAGGAGGCTTTTTAGTTCCTCTTCACTTTCTGCCATAAGGGTGGTGTCATCT